CCCCCCCCCCCCCCCCCTCATTTTGCCTATAAAAATGCGTTAACCGAGGGACACAATTTATGGTGCCTTAAGTGTGCGCATCCGTTATGCGTCGTTTTTGAATTTCCCGAGATTTTTTTTCTGTTCTGCACCGCGGTTCCGCTGCTTGGAAGTAGTGCACACGGGGACGGGGATCACTACTCACCCATGCCTAGGTGCTTACACCCTTGTATAAATGATGAACCGCGTGTTTACCATTGCGTATGTAAATGCGTACTTTTTTTTTTTTTTTTACATTTGAACTTTTTCTGCATATATGCTCACATAAATGTGTACTTAGCTACCTACCATTGTGAAGAGAAAAAAAAAAAAAAACCCAAAAAAAAGAAAGAATGTGATGACCTTTCTACACGGAGACAAGTGTGCTAATTTTACGTCTCCTTACGCTGCGTGTATGTGTCTTTATGGCTACAAGTGTTGTCTACGTGTTTATTCGTGTGTTCACCTGCATGTTGCGCGGTGGGCATATGTAATTGGCCCAGCACTGTGTATAACTCTCGCTTGATTTGCGCGCCATCTGATTATACGACATGTACGCAGCCATTATATAACTCGTGCTATACGTGAACCATATGTCACCCGTGTGTGGAGCATTTCCCTGTCTATATATATATATTTGCTTACTGACCTGCTATCATTTGCGATTCCCACCCCTTGCGCATGCACAATTAATGGTAGCCGAGAGTGTAATTAGGCACAGGTTTGAGAAAATCAAACGGTGAGAAAACGACGTCTTTGTTACCCATAAATATGTGTCCATGCAGGTAAACAAATTGCATGCTACTAATTTCCATGTGCATTTTAATAAACGGGACAGCGTTTCTCACAACGGGTTCCTATCATCCTTGTAATAATGTGTTTGCTTACATGGGCGTATGCAAAAATGTCTACAGGGGAATTATACACGCATGTATAATTATTTTGAATCTTTCAAGTGTAGTATAGATTTTTTCAAATTTTGCCTTTTTTTTTTTTTTTTTTTTTTTTGTTACATATTAGCTGATATATGTAGAACATTGTGATTAATTATATTTAAACATGTTAACTGATTTTTTAACATTTTCTATAAGTTCTTTTTTATTTCATTATTTTTTTTTTTCTGCTATAGTTTAATGAAAAAAAAAAAAAAAAAGATTATCGATCCTTAAGAAAGATGCCCCCAACAAAAGTGTCCCACAAAATTGAAAAAAAAAATATATATATATACTTTTTGTATTATCCATGCAAAAGTTTATTTTATTTCTTTTTTTTTTTTATTTGTTTTTCGCTTTGATTAAAAAGTGAGATATTCTTTTTTTTTTGTTTTTTGGAAGATTGGAGATTCTCGTCAATTCGCCCTTATTATCGGTAAGCAGAAAAAAAAAAAAAAAACAAAAAAGAGAGAAAAAAAAGGAAAGGAGAAAGCCGTATGAAAAAAGAAAAAACAACGGTCAAAATTCGAAACATTCGAAAAATTCGAAAAAAAGGAGCAAGTTGGAAAAATCGAAAAGTCGAAAAAAAAAGGGGGATCGCCGCGGAAAAAATAGCGACAACGCCGAAAAGTGTGTGCAATAGCGTGAGAGAAATTAACAAAAACCGATCGAACAGACGAACGGGTGAAGCATAACCGCGAGATCGTCCTCGGACTGTTCTGACTGCATGGCGTGTATGCAGAGAAGTGTGGTGCCGCTATATAAACCAGCTGGTACAATTAAGCGTATGCGTGCTCCATAATGTTTATGTGCATACGTAATCCTTTACACGCATGCTTCTATAAATAGCTATATACATTGTTGCTGTGCGCATGTGTTCCAATTTGCATGCCACCAATTTTTTTCATCTGGCACAACTTGTGGACGCCACCACCGCGGTGAAGGGAGAGAGAAAAAAAAAAACAAAAAAAAAAAAAGCATGGATTCATCCCGTTTCTTTCATATGCACGGCGTATTTTCAGGAGCCCCCTGAAACTGCGCAGACTTCTCACCATGTACAGATTGTTATACATTGTAAAAATATAAAAATGTACATTTGTTGTATGCGCTTTTTTAGTAATTTTCTTTTTTTTTTTTTTTTCTTCTTCATTTTGTCCCTGTCCCCTCTGTATCGTGGTCCAGATATTCCATGCTTTATTGTACTCTTTCTCCACAGAACATGGATAACATAGAAGAAGAGGAAACCGCCAAATTGGATGAGGAAAACGGGAAAATGAAATGTACAGGAACCACCACGAATTGCACTGGGGAGTTTTCAGCCCAACCAAATGACAGCCAAGAAAAAGTTTGTTACATGGAAGAAAAGGACACTCACGAAGGTTATACCAATCGTAGTGCTAACTGTGATATGCCAACAGACCAGCCGTTCGATACGTCGGTTATCGACCATGGGGGTGAAGAAACAGGAAGCATGATTCATGAAGAGGAGGATAAGCACGAGTGTGACGGCGCAGACAGAGAGGAAAATCGCAAAGTCAACAATGATATCCTCTGCGAGGAAATTAAAGCCCAGCCAAAAGATGAAAACGCGTCTTCACACATGAGGGGCAGCAGCAGTTGGGGGTTGTTCTATCCGGCGGAAAGTTGCCCATGGGGAGAAGCAGGCGTGGCAGCCATGGCAGCTGTGGCAGGTGGAACGGCTCAAATGGGCCACACAGGCGAAGCAACCCAAGCATCCCCTAATCGGAGCACTCGCCATGCGGGTGAACGGGAGGAAAAATTAAGCACAAATTGCACATGCACGAGGGACAACGTGTACCTGGGACACCACCAGCAGAGTACACAAAGTGCTCACATGCATAACCAGGCCAAGGAGGAAGAGAAGGAGGGTGAGGACGGGTATTGCAAAATTGGTACCCATCCAACAGTGAGCGCTATCCGAGTGGAGACCACATGCAGGAACGACCCAAATAATGATTCTGTTAGAATTGCCAACAACTTTGGCGCGTGCAAGCAGGGAACTGAAAAAAGGAAAGAGGAAATATTCGACGGAGGGGATGAGGAAGGTGAAATTGTGTGCACGGAGGGATATGAGAGAATAGGTGCGCTAAGAACTCAGGCCACATTAGGGGATAGGACCGATGCCATAATAGGGGCTAGTGGAGATGTTATAAAAGGGACTAGTGGAGATGTTATAAAAGGGGCTACAGGCGATACCAGAATAGCAGCTAGGAGCGAGGCCTGGAGCAGAACCCTGGGGAAAACCCCAAGCACTGACCAAAGAGTTGGTGAAATGAGCAACCTGAGCCATAACAGCAGCAAGTACACACAAAGTGCGTTTAGGAAGAATACTAACAAAATAAATAACGATTATCACTTAGCTAATGAGGAAATAGGTCAGAACAATGTGATTATAAAAAAAAAAACAATTACCCAAGAGGGTGTACTGTGCAGTACACCTCCAAGTGCGCAGGATATACCAGATGAGAACTCCCTTATTAACAGAACGCCAAATTACACAATTGGCCAAAATAATTTGTTCAATGTCACAGCAACTTCCGACCTGCGCAGTGATAACAGTAGGGGTAGCGGTGAGAAGGGTGAAAAGGGGGGAAAGGGGGACAGTACTATACTCATTGGTGACTTCGAAGAACACGCTCGCATTGTTGACGAGCAGAATTGCACAAACAGCACTCTAGTGGGTAGCGCCGAAGAGTTTATAACGGTTTGGGCCAGTGAAAAATCATGTGCAAGGCCTCATGTAAAATCGCATGTACAATCGGATGAAGCATCTGATACTCCGCTCGATGTGGCATCGAGGAGTACCATCCGTGCACACCCCGACGACGACCAGTCGAATCTTAAGCCCGATGAAAATCGAAGGAGAAAAGGAACTTGTCGCAGGGAAAGGGTAAAAATAAAAAAAAAACAACATTTTTTAAATATCAGCAGGGGGAGTAACACAATAGGAAGAAGAACAAACTTATCCTTTGAGCATCACCATTACCAGTCGTTTTTTCACCCCAAGGGAACATCTGCAACGCCAAGTACAGCCAAATATGATAGACTTCGAGGAGAACACCTTACTCCTAACCATAGTAGTCCTACACAGGAGAAGGATAATGTGAATAAAACTGACCATGATGAGTTGGAGGAATACAAAATGCTTGTTCAACATTCTGAGAAAGGAAAAACAATTACTGAGAATTGCCAAATGGACAGTAGCGACATGATTGAGTTAATTATAAAATCACATGTGCGTCGCACATCGTCCAGAGATGAAAGTGTGCAACAAGCCGACGTCCATGCGAATGTGTGTGCTGTTGAAAATAATCCCAGAAGCAAGGCCTGTTACGTACCTAATGAAGAAGCGAAGCCTGCACACTCGGAGGAGCAAAGTGGAACGGAACAGGAAGAACCCCCAAGTGGAATGTTACTCCCTGAAGGAGCGTTCCCCCATGGCCATATAACAAACCATGGAAGGCAAACTTTTGTGAACAGAAAGACAAATGAGCTGTTATATGATAAGGACGAAATAGAGGAGGGTGTTGATAATGTTGAAAAAGGCTATGTCCAGAGATCCCATTTGAGGAGCAGTGTGCATGGTGAAAAAGAAAGCGCCATGTTGATGAGGCTGACGATCCCGGTGAGCACAACCCCGCAGGTCGGTCGAGTGACCAGGATGAGCAGTTTAAAAAGGGCCCAGGCAAACAAAGGGAAAGACTTCACCAAGAGTATTGATCATAATTTTGTATTAGGAAAATTTTCAAAGGAAGGTGAAAGCATTAAGGGAAGGCACCATGATTCGAAGAAGGGGTTATCGAGTAACGCATGCTTGTCGTCGTCGGAAGGTAGTGATGGGTGTATCGATGCGGATGATCAATATGATGGCCATAACGGTGTAGTGCTGGATAGGACCGCTATTAGCCAGGGCTTCCCCTCGTCGCTCATCCGGAGCAGTGGGCCAGAATGGAAAAATGGCTCCCCAATTAATAGCCGCAAGTACGATGAGAACACTAAGAGTGAACGAAGCGACGTCCATGGATACAACATGGTCGGGAGGTTCCGTGGGGAAGGAGAAGCAGCCCCTCTCGTAAGGGAGGGAAGAAGAAAGCACCCAAAGTATTACAAAGAGGCATGTGAAGATTCGAGCGAAAGTCACATGATAAGTAACAATTGCCACGAAAAGGCCCATAAGAATAAGGAAGACTATCACAACCGGGGCGTGCACCGCGAGTACACATTTGGACACAGTAGACAAAGAAGGCCGGGAAGGGAAGGAAAGCAGACCCAACCATATCGGACAAATCGACCAAGTGATGCCCTTTCTGCTGATGTGAAGAGCAAATGTGAGACGAGGCAGGAGGCGATATCGGGAAGAAATGGAAGAAATTACGTGAACAAGCCAGAAATAAAAGTGGAACAATTCAGACTGCACAATGGCATACAAGGAAAGGGTAGGAATAGGGACAATAGCACACTCGATGATGAATTACACCAGTGGACAATGGAAGGAGGTGGTGGTCACGCCGATGACGACAGAAAGAACCTCCAAGGTGGACCCAAGGATGATAGGAGGAGAAAAAATATGTTCCTTGTGAATGGGCGGCACAGAATTAAGCACGTGGAAGGGACGTGGAATAATGATAAGTGGTGTGTGGACACGAGCGGGATGATGAAATTGCGGGGAACGCAAAGTAGGAAAAGGGATGAAAGAAGAGAAAGAAATGGGAGCAGGGGGGAACAGGACAAATGCGCTCGCAATGACGCTGATAGCGACGACAGTGTGGGGCCATTTGGCAGGCGAACTGATCGGTCCGTGCATGGCAACCATCTCGAGGATGGACAAGGTTATAACGATGTGGGAGACCAAGTTGCTGGTCAAGCTACTAGTGAAGGTGGTGGCGAAGTGGCAGAGGAAGAGGACCAGGAAGACCCAAGTCATTTGTGTGAAATACAGAGACACATAGACTACATCATGCAAAATGATGATATAGACTTTTCCCGGATAAGCATAAAGCCCAGCAAGAAATACGTAAAAATTAATTTGTTTATCGACCGGTACATACTGAGCTATAATGAACTTCAGAACAGCGAGCTTCTGTTCTGCTTTGGAGAATCCAGTGAAGAAGACGTAATGACGAGGAAGAGGAGCTCCATGAAGGAAGGAGATTACGATGGAGATGATGATAGCCAAAACGATGCACTTATGATGTGTGCAAGAAAAAAAAATGGAATTTCATCATACAAGAAAAAAAACAAGCAACAAAAGAATAGGAAAATAAATTATAATGCGATTGACACCATGTGGCAACCACACTTCCATCCACACAACAAAGAATTTAGAGTGAGGTACAGGTACAAAGGAAGCATGAGATTGAAGACGATCTCTTGTAAACACTATGGTTATGTATTTAGTAAAAAAATATCAATCCTGTTTTTGTTCAGATGGTTACTCTGTGGTAAGTACATCGCAGAGAAAACGAAAAGGTCCAGGCTGAGCATCACCGATATTAATGATTGTAATTTATCTGACCTTCTCTCTAAAAAGCGAAATAAAAATAATGGGTACATGACTGACGAGGAATGGAAAGCGATGGAAGAAAAAAAAAGTAAAGAATTTTATGACCACGTACATAAGATAAATGACTTCTTCATGAGTAATTACAAGGACGATACTTTTTTAAAAAAATTGCAGGTGATCATTAACAGCTGTGATAAGCAATTTAGGAAAGAGGAGATATTGAATATACTGAATCAGTGCCTGCGTGATAAGTTGATCAGTGAGCGACGCAGAGATTCTCTGTTGCGGCGCGACAGCGCAGTTGACACTTCTCTGAGCAAAGCGCACAGTGCAGGGAACACACTTAGCGGCCCGATCAACGTTCATCCCAGCGGCCGAAGAGACCAAAGCCGTGACCTCAGGCAGGGACACGTGCCCCGTTTGAGTGCCCTCCCTGTGAACACTAAAAAGAGGAAGCGGACATTCAACACAAGCGCTGAATTATACTCCAAGGAAAACATGGATGAGGGGAGCATCAATCATAGTAGCAGTGGAAGCAGTGGAAGCAGTGGCAGCAGTAGAGGGGGCAATGAGGAAGATGGTGATAGACCGGGCCATATCATTAGTAACACCGTTGGAGACAGCATGGGGGAGGTCAGCTTTACCAGAAACAAGAGGAAGAAGGAATCCTTTTTTCGAACAGCCAATGGAAGAACAAGAAGTGGTGAAGGGGCCAACGTCGATGGAGCACAAGTGAGCAATAAGGACGAACAGAACGCCATGTGCAGGGGAAGATACAGCAGAAAAAATGAAACAGATACAGAGACAGGAAATAATGGGCAAACGCTTTACCATGTAGGAGTTACCAACACTGGAATGAACTACCCGCCCGTCCCTTATGTTGAAACGGAAGTGAGTGATGAAGGTGGGACAAAAATGGGTGATCGCTCCCGAAGCAGCAATCCACAAGTGTGTAAAAGCAACACGGTAATTGTGGATCGAGGGGTGCATATTGGTCATATGGAGAATGCATACGAGGGGTGTGGTGGTGATGGGGTTTTTCCCCCAAGGAGCGGAAAATTGCAGCCACATGGGAATGACGCCAATAATAGAAGAAGAAGCGGGCGCGCCGGAGCGGACTCCATCCCTTCGAACCCCCCAGACAGTACTAACCCCCTTGCCAGCTACCCGTCCTACGAAGACCTGGAGAAGCTATCCAATACGGAAGAAATAAGAGAATATTACAACTCGCTCATAGAGCTGAAAAAATCCCTGTACATTAAAAGTCAGCACGGAGACGTCGATGACCAGGTGAGATACGCAAACATTAATGACCATTTTATGGAGCTCCTGAATAAAGAGTCTCGCAAGAGCAGTAGCAACATTAGTAGTGGTAGACACAAAGGAAATTCCAATCATTCCATGGATCCTCAAGATACAAAACCGTATGACGCATTTCTCTTTGCCATTTATTATGCCAACCGTAAAAATGCTTCAGCGGGAGGAGCAGCAGCGGGAACAGCCGTGAGAACAGCCGCAGCAGCGGGAGGAGGAGAACGAAGTGGTATGTCGCCCCATAGTGTAGGTGATGCCATAACAACCCCTGGCAAAAAGCCCTTATCTCCACCCACACACGATGAAACCAATACTCCACCTGAGCAGATGCAGAAAATCGATTTTAACATGGAACAAAAGAAGCAAGAACTGGTAACGGAGCTCACCTACTCGCCGCCCTTCCTAGAGGAAAATAATTATCTCAATGCTTACCCTAATTTGAATAATATAAATAGCTCGAAGAAAATAAGTAATGTGTCCACGTGTCCTAGTTTGGTTGTAAGTAGCTACTCCGCGGGGAAGCACACACAAGGTGATAAAAATAATATGTTGTCTTGTTCCGTATCTAATGAAAGGAATAAAATTGGGACAGACGTCACCACAGAGGAAAAATTAGACTATGTGAAGGAGCAGTTAAAGAGGAAATCATTCAACAGGGCCGACTCGAAAGAACTGTTTAACTCGTGTGCAGAAAAGTATTCCCCGTTGATGTTTTCCAAGAGGAATGTATTTTTGAAGCATGTGCGGGAAGATGGGCACGAGGCGGAGGGGCAAAGTATGCAGGGAAGTGAAAAGGGTACTGCAGAAGAGAACCATCATGAGTTGCTCTCCCTGGGGGACGCTTCTACACAGCCCTACACATTTATGGACCGACACAACAATGTCCCTTTAGACAAGTACAGAAAAGATTTGAGCCACATGTGTGATGATGAGAACGAGCTTAGGGTCCTTCCCGTGCGGGAACAAATCATCCTGGAGAAGGAAAAGAAGGTGACATGCGTCGACGGTCGTAACGAACAACAGCATGCGTATAGGGGGAATCCTCGAGAGCTTGTCTTCTTCCCCTCACAAAGGGGTAAGTCAGGGGAAGGTGGCTGCTCACAGGGTAGAAATGACCAAACGAGAGAAGAAGAGGTGCAAGCAGAACGAGAGGCAGAAATGGATAATGCAGAGCCACTTGGAAGTTTACGAGAAAGAAATGATCTTGGGGATGAAAACATGAAGGACATAATTGACATTCTGGTGAAGAGCAAATATCTGCGAGAGTCCATGTACGACGATTCCCTCAGTAGCAACGTCGAGTGCTCACATGAACGAGGAAGAAGTAACTCACGCTGTTTGTATTGTGCCTGTATAGCTAGCCTCAATGGTAGGGGCGTAGAGGTGCAAAAGGAAGACAATTGCACGGCTGACAAGGATTACAAATACCTTGTGGAGGATGCGCTGAAAGGAGGTGATCACAAGGATGGAAATCTTGACCGGGGCAAAGACAACGTGGAGAGGCACCACCACCCCTCATGCGATGGAGAAGAAAATAATTTGTGCAATTCGTCCTGCCAGCACTGCATCTTTTATACTAAATTGTTAAGGCTGTTAAGACAAAATAAAAAGGATGCCGAAAGGGGAAAGGGGTATGGAATGAATAAGGAGTGTGACAAGGTAGATACACACATCAGCAACTATTTAAATAACATGGAGGGTAGCAGTTTGATGGGAGAGGAAATGTTGAAAAAGCAAGTGAGTGGTGGCAACAACATGCCTCCCGCCCAGTTGTGCAATCGTATTTTTACCTATCTGATGCAAAAGGGAGGGAGCGAACGGCTCGCTCATGGTAGCGCAAAGGACATGCCTGGTCGGAGTGAACAGCATCACGGAGGAATGGAAGACGGAAGAATGAATGGCCGAGCAATGGAGGATGCAGAAGTGGAAAAGGGCCAGAAGCAACACGCCGTGGCTGATGCTATGAGGAGCGGTAGAGCCAGCAAGAGGACGAAGAGAGAGATTATTAGTGCCTTTTTACAGGACCTCTTTAATTCTCTTCCCAGCGACGACCTGGATGTGCAGTGCAGCGCGAGCTTGTCTCATTACATGGAAGAGATCAGGACAGGCACTCATGACGCAGGAGAAGATGAAAACGGTGAGTTCGCCAACAATGATGGGGAGAACACCCAACGGTATGACTACCCCTACGACGGCGTGCGGAACTTCCCCCGCAGTGTCGCCCCGAGAGACCAATTTGAGAGAGCACCCCTACGCACCATGCCATACGCCAAAACAAACACAGAACGAAAAAGAGAGAGCAGCGAGTTTGCTAGGAAATCACAAACGAATGAATTCCTCCCCCTTCCTCAAAAACAGACCCACTTCATAATGAACAAGAATAACCTTCAATTAATAACAAATTTTATTAACGACGTTAAGGTAAAGAACTACATTACGTGTTCAGAGATGAAGGACGACCATAGGACCTTCCACGATAGGCAAAACAGCATCGCGGATTATATTCTTCCCCAGCAAAGCAATAAAAGTGTTAGCTTGCAGAATAAGAAGAATGATTTGAACGGTAAGAATGATAAGACGCAAAATGGGCATGCCAATGAGGATAATAATTACGCAGCACACGAAAGAGAAAGCGAAGGTGAAAGCGAAAAAGACGTCTTAGGCCCTTATACACGAAAAGCCCTAAATGAGAAAAGGTTTGAAATAACAAGCCATGAAAATGTGAACAACTTATTCATCGCCGACTCGATAAATAATAACGTCGTGAAAGGGAAGGGGTGATGACTGTACTCTAGCTAAAATGCATAGCGGAGAGATGGAAGTAAGGCGTCCTCATCCAGTTGCCACAAGACGATTTTTATTCCAAGAGCGGAGTGATTCATGTCGGCATACTACCACAGCCTAATACTATCACTGCCCCATCATATCACCGCCCCATCTTGCTGGGGTTGTTTTCCCAGACGGAGAAAGAAAGCATCGTAACTTTTAAATTTTAAAATAAAGGAGTGAAAATCGCGCACGCATTAGGAACATATATATATATATATATATATATATATATATATATATATATAAACAATCCGGCAGCCGCTCCGTAATGAACCCCATTTTTTTGTTCACCGTCGAGCATTTCACTTGGTTAAAATGGAAGGAAACAGTGTGTGACCGATTTGAAGTCCATGGTGAGCCTTTATTTTTGTCATTCTGTTTTAGCTGTCTTTCTTCTTTAACTCGGAATCGAGAGAGAGGTCTTCACCTTCTACATGAATAAATGTGTACACAAGTGTATTACGTGCATTACGTGTGTGAGGAGAGCGCGGTTCCACATGAGAGAGAACCTTTTTTTTTTTTTTTTTTTTTTTTTTTGTGACGATATTTTGCCGAAATTGTTATCCCTCTGTGTGTGTGTCTACTCCCCCCTCAAGCGTGCAATGTTGCAAGCATGCATATTATATAACAGTGAAAATTTTTGTTTTATGTGCCCTGTGTAAAGAGTAATGGAAAAGGAGTAGAAGCGATAGAGTGTGACCCTCCGTTAAGGTTCTCACGGATTTATGAGTATGATGACCACCGTGATGACCTTCGTAATTGTACCGCTGCGATGATCTGCATGATTTTACTCCTCATCGCGCTCCTTTCGGGGGGCTGAATTTGCTCAACGCTCCGACGCTTCAAAAACGAGCCTTATGCGTGCGAAGCTCCTTTTTTTGTAACATATCACTCTTGCGTGTATAAATACCATGTCAATATGCATATATAAACAGCTGTTATGTGTGCACCCCCCCTGATGTACAAGCAAATGCGTGATGATGCCACATTAGCTTGGAACTTTTTTTTTTTTTTTTTTTTTAAATGATGTTGATCCTGTCTCCGTCTCGTCTATCCATGTCTCCGATTTTTTTTTTTTTTTTTTTTTTTTTTTGCATAGCAAGCGTAGTTTTTTACTCCAGCCGCATTATCTCTCCTGCTGTATTTTTGTCTCGTTTGTTTTACGTCCACTTTTTATTTAAACTCCGTTTTTATATGTATTAATATTTTCATAAAAAGGGATGGGCAAACGCGCACAACGGTTGAAATTACGTCAATGGTTGGAGAAAAGGGAAAACTGTTTTTAGGGGCAATATTTATGGCCCCCATTTTTCTCACCATACAGAAATATGCTATGGTCAATTTACCCGCTTTTTGCGCTAGCATATGGGGGGAAGGCATAAAAACACGGGCTGAATTATGTGTCTTGCCATTTTCTAGGGGTGGGCCGTGTTAGCATTATGTGTTATTATAAGTCCCCCCCATTAACTTTTTTGCTCAGACGAAACCCCTTTTTTTTTTTTTTATTATAAATAACTTAGTGTGATTAAAAACCGTTTTAATTAAAAAAAAAAAAAAAAAAAAAAAAAAAAAAAAAAATCATCACTTTTTTGTGTGTGATTCAAAAATTAAAAAGTATTCATATGACACAGGTAACACGATACATGCGTTATTTTTCTTTCCTTTCTAATCGCATAAAAAAGGTCCTCCTTAGCTGACCTGAAATTGTGCGACACACATGTCCACATGCTTGCAGGGAGGTAACATATTTTACCTTGGCTAATTACCAAACCGTGCATTTTTTTTTCCTGTTTTTTTTTGGCCTGCCGCGTCATGACTCGGTGGTGTACATAAAAATGGAAGGGTTTCCCGGCTTGGCTAATTTATAAATGTCTGTATCATCAATGGGGGATTTATTTGTATTTTCCATAATGTGTATGTCTCCTAGGTTTAGGCTTCTCCTAATAAATTCGACGTTGTTTTTTATGAGTTGTATTTCGTCATAGGGGAGACTTAGCTCGTACTGGTTATTGTTGAGCGTTACATTATCCTTCACTAGGAAAGTCGCAAAGCTTAAAATTTCCTTCTTTTCATTTTTAGGTAATTTATTTACATAATCATTTTGCACCAACAGGTTAATATAATTACTGGGTAATTTTTTATCTTCACTATTGTTAATAATTCGGTTAAGAATGTCTATTATTTTTTTTTGCGTGTCATTATATTCCCTCGCAACGTACACAATGGCTTTAAATTTAGTCCCCTCATCATCGTCTTCTTTATACGCTTCTTCCTTCTGTTCGGCCACTGCTTCTCCCTCGTCTGGTGCTCGCTTTGCTGCGTTACCTACACCATTTCGAGCACCCTTGGCACCCTTCTGCTTGTTATTCTTGTTGATGACCTTATCGTATGACTTTCTAAAAATTTCCACCACGTTGAGGAGGTTATTGTACTGCTTGTGCATGACGATGGAGTAGCTGGTATTGTCTGAGGATGGCCACTTTTGGTTAACCAGAAAATCTTCCTTTTTTAAAATGTACGTCCATATATGTTCCGTGACATGTGGAATGAGCGGGTTGATGATGAGACAAATTCGTTCAATAAAAAAATTCACTGTCTCCTTGTGCATATGAATTTTGTCACACATAATTCGATACGTGTCCCTTTTCAGCAGCATGTCGTAGAACCCATACTTGAGGACATCCCGGAACAGAAGCTTTTCATAAGCCTCTTTGCATTTATTAGTCAGGTAATTAATTTCATTTTCAAATATAGAATCTATGAATGTTTTCTCTCCACAGCGAAAGATATAAACATTGTTTTTCGTTTCAATTGAAAAATTTATTAAATTATACAATTTCATTATGGCACTGTTTGCTGTGTCAGTGTTAAAATTAGCGTCTTCAATTGAGTCCCCCGCATCTGCTAGTGCGATCCTAGTCCCATCACTTGTGTATAAATTTATGCTCTGCTTGAGCGTAATAAAATTTCCTTTACTCTTCGACATTTTTTCCTTATTTACTAACACATGTCCGTTGCAGAAAAATGATTTGGGGAAATATTTGACCGTTTTTTGTGCATTCAGATCGAGCTGATCAATTTCGTGTAGTATTTCTGCCTGTCGCTCGAGGATGCTCTTCTCGTCAGTGGCCTCCTTCTGCTTACTGCTTATGCCGCTACCACTGCCATACGTTTTGTCACCCCAAATAGCCACGTGGTTAAACAGAGACATGGTTAAATGGTTGAAGATTAAATCCTTGCCCGATATTCTCACGTCGAAGGGGTACCAGTACTGGAACTCCTTCCTCATCTTCTGCAATTTTTCAACACTTATATTTTTGCTAATATGTTCCGTGTCGTCACTGATGTCAAACACGTAGTTGAAGAAGGCGTCGTTCAGGTCGGCCGCGTCAATGTTGAGGAGGCCGCGCGCACTTCCGTCCACGTTGCCCTGCAGGAAGTGGCTGATCGTGTAGTACGCCATGTAGATGGTCGAGTCGGACAAACTTTCAATGAGCTCCTTCTCCCCCTCAGCGCCGGCACCTTGTTGTGCGGCTTCTTCACCACTACCCTTCTGCGTGCTCGCTTTGTCACCCGCCCCCCCTTGTAGTGCGTTAAAATCGGGCATGTGCGTGCCGAGCCCGTAGGCCCTGCTGCAGGACCAGTCGTCCAGCCAAAAAATCACATGTTGCAGTTGCTTCTGCAAAACCTCGTTGTAGGTTTGGAAGTTGCTCTTCTTCAGCTGAATCAGCACATCCTTCTTAAATTCTAAGTTACCATAGTTGATGTACCACTGGTTACACAAAGCAGCAATACACTTCACATTGTTCCTGTCAATAACAAGCACCTCCGGCTCGCTATATAAAAAACCCTCATTGTTCTTCACTATGTACTGCTTAACCAACTTTCTACAATTGTAAATCTTCATCCCCTGGTACGGTTCAACCCTCATGGTGCCTTCAAAATATTGCTTCTTATACAAAGTCTCCTTAACCTTTTGTAGCTTGGCATCTTTATAAGAGGATATTTTTTCCAGTTCGTAAAAGTACTTCCCTGTGTTGGCCCCAATGTCTGGTAACTGAATACACGAGCAACTTTCATTGTGCAAATATTCCTCCTTAAGCTTATTATACTTTTCACAATAGTATGCTTGCTTCTTTTTTATGTCCTGCAAACAAGCATAGTCGTCCGTACTGTCGCTGGACACGCATGGGACGATGGCGGTAGCGATATTCATTTTGATCGTGGTCATGGGTAGAATGTACAAGTCTTTTCTCTGTGATAAATTTGTATACGTTCGTAATCCTACGAGGTCTTCCCCCTTTATTTTCGTCAGGATGAAGAGGTCGCTGAAGGGGGGTGGTGAGATATCCTCTGCAGCATCTGCATCCTTACCACTCATCTGGCCAGTCGACTTGGGTGACACACGAGAAGATTTACACAGCATGGGTATGACCCCCTGGTAGGCCAAATTGTATAAGCTATTCTCCGAACATATGTACACATTTTCACACGTCTCCACAATCTCCTCCCTTGTCATCACATTGTTCACGTAATTCTTGTCCCCGTAATGAAGCCTCTGCTTGTTGAACCCTAGAGTAACATAATAATACTCACTGGGATTCACAAAAGTATAATTCTGCCCATAGGCTGTTTCTGGTTTTAATGTACTAGCAAGAAGGACAATTTTTTTTTGGCTAAAAAATTTTTCATTCATAATTTTATTTTTTAAATTATCAGTTTCTTCCTGACCAGAAGAAATATTCTTATTTATATTTTTTAAATAAATTTCATAAAAGTCGCTGTAATTATGTACATATATTTTGATGAGGGTAAACTCTTGGCATTTCACTCCTTCCCCTTCGGACCTTTCATGATCTGCACAGGCCTGATTATTCACTCGACTAAAAATAGTAATTCGGCTTCCATAATAAATTAAATTTTTCTTATAAAGGGTGTTGAAATGCCAATTCACAAATTTATCGTAGTAAGGATTCATATTGGTCGTGATGAAAGATCGCCTCCAGTCACAAAACAGACCTAACGAACTCAAATGCTCTTTGGCTTTAGAAGAAAAGTAGTAACACCAATATTGTGGTTTCTGAAACTGATGAATTTCTTCATCACTTATATCCATTTGCTTCATAATTTCATATTGTGTACTTTTTTTAGAACCTTTTGATTGTAATTTACTTTTGTTCGACCTGAACACTGTTGCGTCTGTCTGTTTCGTTTTGTCTCCTTCTTCTTCTAATGGGGATGTGCCAGCAACACTGTTTTCACCCACCTGTGTATCATCGCTAATCTCGCTTTTATTTTCCTCTGAAGATTTCCCCAACACCTTACCCTTTAACTCATTTTTTAATTTGTCTGCACACACAACGATCGGTGTGCCTGTGCAGTGGAAGGCAAATGGAAGCAACACATTCTGGCAGGTCATATTTTTGTAGCGAATGAGGAATTCCAATTTACTCAGGGTAAAGGCATGTCCTATGTGTAGCAGTCCATTCATGTAGGGGTAGGGGAAATTACCCGTAAACCTCGACTCATTATTATCCACAAATTCCTTTTCATATACATTATGTTCCTTCCATAAGTTCTGTATGTTTTTCTCGATGTTCAATAAGTTCATACGCCGAGCCATGGTTTTGGCTGTTCGTGTGATGGGGCGGGTCAATCAAGTGTTTATATTATGTAGGTGACCATGAGACGCGTACAAGCGTGATCGATCACACTACATGCGCACTTGGGACGCCGCGTCTGCTTCGTCCTCTGCCGCTACCTCTTCCTGTACTCCGCGGAGACGGACAAACCGTAGCCACAGCTGGTAGAGCAAAAACGGAGCGCTACTCACCCCGAATGGAAAATCCAATTGGCAGCGCAATCTGTGCCGCAATTGCATCCCCCTTCGAGTCCTCCCCGGCGCCGCACCCCCTGACTGCACGGTTCACGCGGTTGTAAGCCAAACGCGGAAAACTCCAGCTGCGATAAAAAAACAACAAAAAAAAAAATAAAGTTAAACAAAACACGGGACGTATCGTTCAAAATATATATGCATAAAAACGTACAAATAGATTTGACGTGCTGGGCTCCTGACCAGATTTATCGTACGGACACCTGCGTTCATGCCACAGCTATCCACGTTACCCCGCGTGTGTAATGCGTCGCAAGGAGCTTTGTTAAAAACAGGGGGGGGCGCCGTACATATATATAGGAGGAAGCAGATTTGAGAAGGAGGGGGGGAGGAGGCCCACTCATATATAACATGTACATAAATGGAAACACAAAAATATGATCATGTATATAAAAATGGGGAATACAAAAATATGAAAATATGAAAAATATATAAATACAAAAATATAAAAATATATATATAAAATGTACTATGGAAAAGTTGTGAGACTTTTAAAAAAAAAAAGTTATAAAAAAAGCTGAATAAAAAAAAAAAAAAAAAAAAAAAAAAAAGCGCATAAGTTAATATATAATATACGTCGTGAGCACGTGCATATATAAATGAGATTTATATATATCTCTTCATATGCGTATGCATTCGCGATGCTTCTAAATACTTGTGGAGTTTTGTTTTTTATATTTCGGTTAAGAGGTTTTTGCGCGTGCAGCTTGTCGCATCACCTTCATGTTGGGCATAACAATTTCGCAAAAAAACAAAAAAAAAAAAGGGCAAAAAACCAAGGGCAAACAAAAAAGGGCGGAAAGAAACGGTGACGTTTGCTTCAATCGCGTCACCCGCTGTTCGCACGGGCATAGATATTTTTTGTGCGGGGGACCCCAGCGCAGAAAGGCATGTAGGTGTAAAGCGTGCGCCGGAACTACGCGCAATGGCATTTTTTTTTTTTTTTTTTTTTTCTTTGCGTGCGGGGGGATGGGAATAAAAAGGTAGGTTAATATATATATATACCAGGGCCACTTTATTTCGCTACGCTTGTACAGGTGTATATGTCCATCAGTACCTGTATGTCATTTGGAGCGAGCCCCGTATTGGTTCTCTGCTGACCCAAATGGCGCGGCTAACTTTTTTAAATGTGCAATCATGTTCGCCTGCCCATTTCTTCCGTAGCCACTTTTTCTCTTCACTTGAATTTTTGAACAGACCAATGTTGTGTAGGTTCGCCTAATTGGGGTCAACCCGTTTTAACTAGTATCCCCGTGTCACCCCCCACCACATGTGCAGCGCACCGTTTTCCCGCGCATGACATATGCGAGCACATATTAACAGGGGGTGGTGGTGGTGGGGACGAGGAGGGAAAAGTCACCTTAAGGGAAGGACTGCATACCACTTTATGTTCCTTTTATATGCCATTTCAATTGTCATTCTTTTTTGTGTGTTGTAACTGCACAAGGGGAAGTAGCATTTAGTAGCAATCCCAACACATGATTGTTTCACATGTGTTTGTAAATTTACGCGGCAGGGGGGACATAACATGAGTACACATATGATGCGTGACTCCGTATGGCATACTTGACTTTACCTTTTTATGTCATGTGGAAACGGGAACGACGTACGCATGACTGGGTGGGAGAGGACTCTCATTTGTTCCTTCCCCCGTCTGCGCAAGTGGGCACAATATATATGTATATATATGTACGTGCACATGTGAGAAACCTCGCAACGCTCAATGCGTGGCAACACTGTGTGGGGACCCCGTAGCGGATGCAGGAGAAAGGAAGCACAGTTTGTTCGTAACACCTGTTGGCTTTTCCCCTTTTTAACAAACAGTGCCTTCCATTTGCTCCCGTTGGACAAATATATATATATATATATTTGCCCCCTCTTTACAAGCGCAATGCGCTCCAGTGTCATTTAAAAAATACGTTTCCCCGGTTGGGCGACCCTCCTACGTCGCGTCTACATGTTAATGCAAGTCCACCGATAACACATTACACACACCCTCCCTCACCTCTACATATGCCACAACGTCAAAATGGGGATTGCGCGTCGCTTTCCCCCCCCTGTGCTGCTACTGCTGCTTTTGTTTTGCTTGTTCCAGGTCTCCCTATCCTTTGTTCCCTCGAAAATGAACTCCAAGTCTCTGACCTTTGGCCCACGTAACTATGTAACAAAAAAAAAAAAAAAAAGAAGAAGAAGCGAGTACGCGATGCTAGTGTTTGGCGTATTGGAGATTATGTCCCCCGTGTGGTATCTTTTCCTCATGCGCACAAGAGTGTCCATCGCGTTATTTCAATTATCCCCTCATTTTTCTGTCTGTAATGCTGGGGGTGCATCCTGCTAGTGTGCATTACGTTATGTGTGACCCTCCGAATGCATTCAACCTCGGCAAATAGCATGAACATGATGATGATGCGGCATGTGTGACGGGTCCACTCCTACGCGCGAACAAATATATTCGTAAAAACGAGCAAAAATGCTCATAGCAGATTACCCCTCTTCTACACATGTATACATGTATACATGTACACATGTACACATGATATATCGCCTTCCCCCCCCCATCGTGTCAAGTAGCATAACCACAGACAAAGAAAAAAGGGAATAACACAAAGGAGCACTCTAACAATACGCGCATCCCCCAATTTTTTAAGCAGCATAATTACACCCTTGTCCAATGAAAAATTTAAAAAGTACTTCCTCTTCCGTTGCCTCTCTCGCACATGCGTGTCGTTAAGTAGCGCCTTCTCGCTCAACGCAAAAATACACTTGTATAAGAAGAACGGTGATAATATGTTGCTGACCCAGGTCCTAATATATAATGAAATTATAATCAAGGTGTTGAAAGTCTGTTGGTTGTACAAGCTAAGATTGTTTGTGGATACTAATATAAAATTGTGTAGAATTCTGTCGACTGTCTTTTACGTCATTGGTATTTATTTGGACCTACTATCTACTCTCGACTTTTTTAAAAATTCGTTTTTTTTCCCTTGTACTTTGTATGTCCTTTCGTCGACCCTGAAAAGTTTAAGTGTCATGACATATGCGTCGATCCGATCTGCCACTTACCTTCGCATCTGTGAAATGTTGAACAACCCAAAAACGGAGAGTACGCCTTTGGTGCTTCATAAGGGTGTTCGAACAACAAGAGTGGAAAACACAAATGATGATCACTCACTTGTTCAGGAGCAGAATGGGGAACCTACAGATGGCGTAAAGTCGAAGCAGGAAAAGGAAGCAATGAACTTGGCGGAAGATACACACGTATGTATTCATGGTGCAGAGCAGACAGACAACACCCCTCGGGTGAGTGTGCCAAATGGGACCCCCCAAACTGAACGGGGGAACATTTATAGCAGTGGCGATAATAACCCCCTCAATAGCGTGAAGAAGACTTACTTCATTGGCGAAGTCAGCGTCCTCAACGATTTACTGGCCTCCCTTGTGGACCTCTTCACCATTGTGCTTCTCGCACGCACCACCAAATACATAAAGGAAAAAATTTATTTTTACTTCCTCCTGTCCTCTCTACATTTGTTCTTTTCCTACAAGGAGTTGCAGTGCTTGTTGAAGTAGCTCACCCGGCGGGGGGCGGGCAGTTATCACACTCGTACAGTGAAGAGCACTCTACAGAACATGTGCAGCCCTACCAATTGAGCATGACAAGAAAATTCCCAACAAAATAATTATATACTCTTGTGGAAACCTTTATTGGGCAGAGCATTACGCGACCTGTCCATTTCACATTTGTCAACCCCTCCATTAAAGGAGACCTCACTTGTTATTTTTTTTATTTTTTTTTTAATTCGTTTCCACACGAAAGAATTGCTTTTCGAGCGTTCCTTCCCATTTGTCAATTTCCTCCTTTTTAACGTTACAATATTAATATGTTAATATGTTAATGTGGTAATGTGTTAATATGTTAATGTGTTAATGTGTTAATGTGTGGAGAATTTAAAATGGTTTATGTAACCTGACCCAGCTGCTCATAACTTTTGTGCACAAAAATGTGCATCCTCGTAAAGCATGGCGGCATGGCAAAGATGGCGAGTAGTACTGGGCTGTTCACATGCACCGGGGATGTGTCCGCGTGGTGAGTCAACACTTGGAGGGGCGTTTAAACTTCCCCCCTTAACAAAGACAACCTCCGCTACCCTCAACCATTTGCGAAACATATGCATGACTTTAAAGCTGGCACACAAAAAGGTACACCCGCGACGTGTATTTATATGCACACGTCCCACACGATGCAACTTCTGATCAGTGCAACGACGAACAAAAAAAAAAAAAAAAAAAAGAAAAAGAAAAAAGCAACAGGCTAGATTAGAGTACACCCCACATTCTTCCGTTTATTTCATTTATACCCCTTAAATCGGTATGGACACCTCCGATTGGCTTCATCACATGTGTCCTTAGCTTCACGGTAAACATGCAACCTCGGTACTGCTCACGACGAGGGGTAGGGTAGAGGCGGGGTAGCTCGTGCACATTTCAGTCTTCCTCCGGGTAGGTATACGGGCAGTCGATGTAGAGTTTCTGCGAAAGGAATGTTGAAAAGAGATGAGGTTTATCTACACATACTGGACGCAGCAGGAGGCAGTACATATATATGGCGGCATGTCTGGTGCGCAAATATTTGGCCGACCCCGCTCTTTCTCTTACCCCCTTGTTTATCGTCTTCCAGAAGTTGTTAAACCACACCCCCCAAAAGTAGGACGTTATGCAGCCGCCCGTCACAACGAACATCCAGTAGCGGCTGTTATGCTTCAGTATGTGATCATAGATTCTGCAAAAGAGCGGGACAAGTTGGAAAGGACCATATGGACACGGCTCAGGTGTGTACACATACACGTATTTATATATATGTGTTAACTAGGAAATGCCGCCCCCCCCCCCACTTCTTCACACATATGTACGTAGAAGGAGAGGAGAAACGGGGGAATGTGCACTCCCTTACCTGGTCTTATTCAGGGCAACGAAAAAGGGGTTGAAAATGTCCTTGCCCTTCCTACTCTTCGCAAGCGATTTCCAAATGAACTTGGGGTAGGTATCACTGAATGGACTTCCGAAAACCACTACACAAAGGAGCAGCAAAAAAGAAAACGCGTTTATGTGTGTATCACCCTGCTGAAAGACTTCACCCTTGTCGCCACAAAGGAATACTTATACACTTTATTAATCATTCTTTGCGCGGACTGCACTGGAATAGGATATGTACTATGTGTCACTTACTTTTTTATACTTTTCCAAATTAACAGTTTTTTTTTTTTTTTCCACGTAGTGTTTATATGGTCATATAAGGGTTACTATTTCGTGGTGTGAAGTAAAACGTTTTGGCGAGGAAAACATGTTAAGGCGACGGGGGAAGTAGAAGAGGAAGAAAAAATGAAGAAAGAAAAATAAAAAAGCAGCGCTGGTACCTCGTATCGATGATTGTTCCTCACACCGGGAATAGTACGGTGGTTAAAAAAGCGGGAGTGAAAAGAAGCGCTGCCTAAGGCATTAAACTTTTGGCGGTATCCAAATTGGAAATTGTGTTTCACTGTTGCAACTTTTTCAGCAGGGCGATATTTTGTTTTATCACCGCAGGTGTACCAGAGCACTTCGCGTAGTCCCTTTTTCCTGCACTCCCCTTCGGATTACACGAAAAAATGACAAGTGAGAAAATGGGTGTTACAGTGCTTTTATAAAGGTGCTATTCATTCTGCGTTGTTGCGCGTATTTTTTTTTTTTTTTTTTTTTCCCAAGCAATTTCATCGAATGAAAGTACATTTATCGGATATGTTTCATCAGGGGAGAAATGGCCAAGTGAATTTTTGCAGCAATTCTTGAGCGTGTATTTTTTTTCCTTTTTTTCTTCTCTTCTTTTTGTGGTTTTTTTCCCCATTTTGGCACCAACTGCATCAGCCGCAACTGTCCGTGTGAAGTATATATAAGTATGCTTCCCCCCCCATTGGGCATCAATTGTACTCAGTTATCTCCTCCCAGAATTGGCCACATCCCCCTTGCACGAATCGTGTTTTGTAAGCCCACCTTGTGATAATCCTTTTCCGCAACCCTGTTTTACACACCTGCCTTTAGAATGCGTTAAGGAACACGCTGTTGCTAAATCCTTCTGAAGTTGCACAAATTGAAAAAAAGGGGAAAAGTTGCAACTCCGACGGAGGGACTCGCGCGCAGACGGTGTGCCTCTGAACGGTTGCTGCTCTACACTGTAGCGTCCCCTCTGTGATAAGAGTGCACACAGGTGAGCTGCTCAAACGTGTGAACCGCACCAGACAATGAACCTAATCCTCATTAGCCTGAAGAGCATTCGCAAAAATGAGGCGGGGGAATTTTTCTTCCAAACGGACGAACGGCAAACGAGCCATTTAAGAAATATCCTAAAGGTTCAGCTCAACCAGGTTGTGAAGGTGGGTGTGATAAATCGAGGAAAAGGGGAAGGAGTCATTACCGAGGATAACAATAAGCATTACACAATTAAATTATTAACACCTATACATTTGCAAAAGTCTCAAGACAAGTACATACCAATTGATGTGGTCATTTGCATCCCAAGACCGAAAGTGTTAAGTAAATTTCTCCAGCAGTTATCCTCTGTAGGAGTCCAAAAAATTATTATCGTTTTTTCTGAGTTTGCAAATAAATCGTATGAGTCCAGTAAAATTTTAAAAAATGAAGAAATTAAAAATGCTCTTCAACTTGGATTGGAACAAGCCATGTGTACACAGTTCCCACACATTTTTATTCATTACTCTTTTAGTTCCTTTGTTATGAATATTGACAGGTACAGTGATGAGAACACCATCAAGCTCTGTGCACATACGGAGGTTAGAGGAAGCGACAGCTGTGTAGAACGGGAAATTTTGTGTACAGAGCGAGGGAAGATACTTCTTATGGTTGGTTGTGAGAGAGGATTTTCAGACCTGGAAATTTATTTAATTAGAAAATTGCAGTTTCGCTTTTTCAATTTGACCGAGCGGATATTGAAGTGCGAAACGGCTTTGCTGGTCATCATCGGCCAGTTGTTATTACTCACGGAGAATACGGCGCTGCGGCCCAGTGGGCGAAAAATGTGCCGCGAGGAGGTCCAAGTCGGCCATGTTAACGATGTGAGCGGTTTGGGGTGCTCAAATCGTGAGGGCCTGCATGAGGGCCGCCATCAGGACTGTGCCAGTTCAGAGCAGGACCCCGGCAGCCCCCCAACGGAAAATGACCCTTTCGCCGAAATTAAAAAGTTGCTTGCGACGAAGTCGTCTTTTCCCGACCAAGTAGTAAACTCCGTGAACGATTTTATTAACAGCAATAATAACCATACTGACGCGCTCCAAAATGGCCCCATAATAGGAGACAAGAGCGACGTTGACGCCCTCCTTCGAAGCATACACACGCAAAGTACCAACAATGACAAAAATGAAAATTTTGAAAATATCTACTTAAGTTTGCTACTGAAAAAAATCAAGTACAAAAACAGATTTACTCTGTCCTACACCGATCAGCAGAATAATGTGGACGACGACGGAGTATTCATATACAGAACGCGTCCATATGTGTCGAAAAAAAAAAAAGACCCATCCTGACGAGCTGTAGCCGCTCCAGGGGGCTAACACATCCGTTCGTACCTTCCTGCGCGAATGGAAGTGTGTACCTATTTGTGTATTTACCATTCATCATTCGTTATTTACCATTAATCATCCGCTATTCATTATTTATTATTTATTGTTCTTTTTGGTAATTCTTTCACCGTTGAAAGTGTGTGTCATGTCACGGTACGCTTTCAATTCTGTCCAAGGGAGGTTCCTCTCTGCTTTTCAACATGGGAAAGAGGAGGGGGAAGTTGCCAAAAAATGGCACTCCCTCTTTTTTTTTTTTTTTACTGCAAAATGGCGAAACAGCAAAAAGGTCTTCATGTAGTCATTTTCACCTGTACATGTTCATATACATTTTGTTTGTTTTTCACGTCGATTGGATAATAATCCAGGATTTTTTTAAGAAACAATTTTTTTTTTTGTCATTCCTGTAACGGATACTTCTCCTGTAGTTGGTTAATTTTGTCCTCGAATGTTACTTCGTATGGAAATCGGGGGAACTGATTGCCATACAGTTTTCTCATTTGTAGCCACTTGGTAAAACACTCAATTTCGTACACAGTCATTCTGTACACATTAATTTTTTTTTCCGTCAAAAAATTATACATTTCCTTCCTTGGCGCATAATCTGGATTTATTCCTTTGATGTAGTATTCCCAACTTTTGTAACCATCTGACGTCAGCTCGTTAAGGAAATTCTCATTTATTGTAGTTTCGCTTTTTGCTGTCGTAAGGTATTTGCAAAATTGTGTGCTCCTGTTGCATAGCTGCGCGGGGTTGATGCGAAGTAGTTTTCTCATCATTTGTTAGGGGATATTTTTTCGCAAGCTATTTTAGCTGTGTGATGGTTTTTAATGTGGGCAGGGAATTCTCTAAAAAATTTGTATGTTCCCCTGTTTTGTTTTTATCCCTTTTGATCATTACATGGTTTCTTTGTTTCTTTTTTATGACCGCGTTTCGTGTGTTGCTTTTTTTTTTTTGTTTTTTTTTTCTCAATTACGCCTTTGCGAAGGGGTACATGAGGAAGGCACAGAACGGAAAAGCAAAAATGATACGCTGCGTGGAGAGGTGTGGCAAAAAAAAAAAAAAAAAAAAAAAAATGAAGCTATCCCACGGGGCAGGCAGGCGTATCCCGTACGGTCACACCGCGTGACCTGCAAAAAGGTTCCTTTTTTTTTTTTTTTTTTTTTTGAGTGTGCTTTCCCCCCACGGAATGGTACAAGTTTGCTCCATTTTTCTTCACTTCATGCCAAACGGGCGGGACAACAAGTTCAAGGGGCTCAAGCGCGCCACCTTTATCGCCTTCATATTGAAGTTGAAATATATGGACAAAATGATGGAGAAAAAAAGGATGACTAAAAAAATGAGGGGGCTGTAAAAACTGTCAAAGCGTCGGCGTCCCAGCAGCGGTTCCTTGGTCTTTCGCCTAACAAAGGGGGCGGAAGTGGGTGAAAGGGATGTCGCGACGGTCGCTATGGTCGCTATGGTCGCCATGATCGAGCACCGCTGGCAGCGTCAGCATTACACACGCACACACACAGGGCGAGAGAGCGAGACGTGTAGAAGTATCCACGCAGCAGGGGGGCAGCGTGCCCCACGGCACAACGCTCATGTGAACCCTACCCATCAATTATCTCGACGCGCTTCAAAAAGAGGAAGTAGGATGATATCAAGGAGGTGAAGGAAGTTCCAAGCAGCAAAAAAATAACGAGGTCCAAATTTTTATTTTCATTTTTATATTTTTCTAAAAAAAGTGCCAACAAGGTGATGTACACAGAGATCAGGGAGTAATGAAGAAAAGTTCTCTCTGCAGCAAAATTTATTTTGGGGTCCATTTTGAGCAAATTAATTTTCTCCTGCGCATTTTTATTTTGGCTATATTTGTGCTGCAGCCAAAGGCAAGTCTTGTCCAGTATGTTCCATTTTTGTAAACACTGATGAGAGGATGTTAAGTGGTTTGTGTGGTGTGTATAATCATTTAAATAAATTTGGTTTGTTCTGTTCACCGAGAGGTCACCATATCCCCCTAGGGGTATTATTTCATGGCGGTCACTTGCTCCAGGGGCAAAACTAGAAACATTTTCCATGGTCATCCCAACTGATGCCTGTACAGAATCGACGTTAGAATTATCTCCCCTTCCACAACTACTATACCCAGTCAAAACGGATTCGGCATAATTATTGTTGGGCTTGAATTTCTCATGCACATTAGAATGGATCCACACAGGAATGTATTTAATTTTGTCCGGGTGTAACAAAGCCATGGCCGTTTGATATTTGGAGTATTTGTAAGTGTTAATAAAATGGTTGCTGTTTAAAATGTCTTGGACCCACTGGGGAATTTTCTCCACTTTTAATTTGACTTCTAATATTGCATAATTTAATCTCCTTATTTCATTTGTTCGTAAGGCCTCCTCTGCTAACCTGCACCAGTGCTCTCTTTTATGTACATACTCGTTCAGCATGGACACGTTTGTGTCAATGGAAATTCTCACAGAGTTGTCGTTACTCAGTTGGAAGGCCGACCTGAGGTAGGATGTTCTGATGATGGGTTCCAACCCATTTTTCATTATCATGTCTTGTATCTCCGTTGCGAGAGCTTCGTTCTTCTTCGTTTTTTTCTGCAAGTTGGCATTTGAAGTACCTTTCTCCAGGGTTGCCTGCTTCCCCATAGTCGTTTGCCTCTTTTGAAAAAACTTGCTCACATCCATTTGGCCAGTCATAAACTTCAACACGTACTTTTGCTCCAACTCGAACCTCTCCTTCGTGGAGTTCTCTCCTGTCCACTGCTCATGGTGAATCTTCCTCTCAATAAAAATTGTCTTGTCGGGGTCCCCATCGTTATCGTTATACCACCTGAACCGAATAAGTTGCGCATTCTCATACCTCAAAATTCTGTTACTATAACAAGTGGCTTCTTCATTGTCGAGGTAGACAGAAGTTATTTGTTGCGATTCGTTTAGTGCTTTGTTCTGCCCATGCGTATCGTCTTGGTCCCCACCAAACTCATCGCCCAGTTTGCCCCTCTTCATTTGGACGAAGCTTCGGAAGTGCGCCTCCAGGTCCTCATTATTTAGGCCAAATATTAAGTAAGGCAGGTGCTTTACAATTTTGACTTTGGTGTACACAATGTCTTCGTACTTCATTAGAAACTTGGTAGATGTACGTTCGAACGTTTCTGGTGGGACCCAAGTTTTGCCATCTGGGGGGGGAGCGGCATTGTATGCGTCGGCCCCGCACCGCGCACGGTGCAAAGCATACAAGAGGGACAGGTATACCACCAACTCGTCCACATTGATATTACAAAACTTCTCCTTTATTAATCCCAGCATCAACCACTGGTTAATGGAGATGTTCATTACATTATCAAAAAAAAAACCTAACCTCATTAATATTTTACAATTCTGGTGAATGTAAAAATCAAAATGGACAATATCACAACCTATTAGGTCAATCTTTTTTTCCATTTCTTCTTTTTCATTTTTTCCTGAGTAGCTCTGGACCGACTTCAATTCCTCATATGTCTTCATCAGGCTATCAGTAATTTCGTCGTATTTTTTTTCTGAAAATTTGTTTATTTTTTTTATTTCCTGGGTGATCAGGTCGTTGAACAGGAAGGGCGGCAGCAGTTTTATGCCTGCAGGGGGTGCAGAAGCAGAACAAGGGGGCAGTTACGGTGGAGGAACACGCAACGACATACAAGCGCATGCATTTCTAACGGTGCTGCTACGGCACTACTACGAGCACTCATAACGGCGCTCAGTTTAACCCTGCTCGTCAACCCTTCTGGCGGCACTTTGTATGAGGTCCTTCTCGAGCTTCAGGGGAGGAAAAGTGTGCGGTGTGCGGTGTGGAATGATGTTGGTGCGGGTATGTGGGGGGGAGAACGCACGCAGAGTTCTCCCCAGCGTATGTACATACAATATGCATACACACATGTGCGCAGTGGCCGTTGCAAATGCAGCGCCTCGCTGCCGACTAGGTCCCTCCTCTCGGTACCTTCTTTTTGTACTTGTGTCCCATCCTTATTATAGTCCTTTTAATCTTCTTGTACGAGACGTAGTACTTTCGGTAATGCTTCGGCACGTCCACCATTTTGCTCTTTCTCCTTCTTTTTATTCACCACAGGTTTGTTGTGCTTCCCCCTCAACAGCTGTGCACACATGAAGAGCACTTCTTCCTGCCCTTTCCTCCTCTTAGTGGAAGATATCATCCGCTCAGGCAAATCAAACCGAGTGAGTAATGATCTTCCGAATTGAAACACCTTTGGGGATTGGCTACCTGTAGGATACCTGCCCAATTTAGTGTTCCCTGTAGCGTTTTTATTTATTTTTATTTTTTTTTTTTTTAAATATTTTTCTTGCAAAATTGGTCACTATGTAACACCACAATTGTTCCTTTTTCTCTTTCCTCGAAAATATTATGGATGGCAAAATTGTGCAATTCTTGCGGGCTGGTCTTAAAAACAAACAAAAAAAAAAAATGTGGAATTTTTTTTTCTGCATCCCTTTCAATGTAGAAAAATTACTTCCTAGCATTCCTCACCATCGTGTCCCCTCGTTGTGTCCTTCTGCTCCCTTTTTTTGTTGTACTTCGTGGGGAAGACCACGCTTCACATTTTTTGGGTTAGGGTTCACGATATGTGTAGCGGGGCAATATATATAACAAAGTCGGCCTCTCTACATCTCTTATGCTAACTGGACGTAACAACCACGCGCATCTAACAGTAACTCCTTTCATGTCCAACACTTTGGAAGAGGTTTAATAAAAATGAGCATAACTGATTCTTCCATTTTGTAAAATTAGGCACTACAAGAATTATAATGTCCTCTATGCACCAAAATATGCGTGGCACGGTGTCAGGGTTGGTCTTTGGCCAAAGGGGATCGAGGCTAAATTTTGCAGTAAAAAAAAAAAAAAAAAAAAAACGCCAAACATAAATTTCGCAGAAACGGTTGCGCGTTACATGCTTAAATATACAAGTGAACATTTTATGATTTTTTTTTTGTTTTTTTTTTTTTTCTGTTTATCCATTTTGGTTGCTTTCTTCAGGGTTTAGGGTTTGACCCACTTCCTCTCATCCAACTGAAGCGGATAGCAAAAAAAAAGAAGAAACAAAAAGTTAGCAAATGGTTTGACAAAACGGAAAAGTACAACGTCGAAGTTTGGCCATTTTATTATCAACTTTTCCACCGTTCTCTGATTTAAATAATTGCTTTCCCCTTTTAAATGACTAACCAGCGGGGACAGGTAATTTACGGACCGCAAGAGGCAGGAACACAGAAAAAAGGAAGCAGCCATCACATGTAGTCCATACGTATAACAAATGAATGTCAAAAGGAAAAAAGGGAAAGACCATGTTTGCATAAACCCCTCCACATTTACACATACGAACAAGCATCTTGGAACGAAAAGGCAAAAACATCGGATAGGCGCAGAAGAATGGCCTTCGAAGGACAACTATCGTGGAGACACCCCAACATCAACTTTTGATATACTACCCCCACCCAACAGACTCATAAGTCGAATAATTTACTCCCCTTCGCTGAAGCAAAATGAACAATAAATTAAAATTTTTAACCCTTCTTTGCGTCGCCACCACCGGCACGTACTACATATGTGTGCACAAGAAGAAAGAAATTAAGAAGCTACTCAATTCCATGTTTGTAAATGGAAAAAAGAAAAAGCACAGACGGAGGGACCGTGGGCGGAGGAAGAATAATAGTGGACGTAAGGTGAAGTCCTTGGCTACCTTACAATCGATGGAAAGCGAATCTGAGGAAGACGAAATTGTTCACGTGAATGAAGACACCTCTGTCATCAGCTCAGAAAATGACTCATATTTTCTTGATGACAGGGAGGAGACCCCACGGGGACGGAATTCTCTGGGAGGTGGCCACACCAATGGAGGGAGCACCAGGAGGGAGAAAGCTTCCTCCGAAGAAGAGGAAGATGAAGAAGAGAGCACCCTCACCGATGTCGAAGATATTAACAACCTGAATGACAGAGCAAGTTACAACGTTGTGCAGATAAAGGCAAAAAATAGAAACAGGAGTAAATACCTAAATGGAAACTCCAAAAAGGGGACCCCCAAAAAGAAACTTCCACGCGAAGAGGAAGATTTCCAATCTCAGGATAACTTAAACGAATGCGCAGTCATCCTCCCGGAGAAGTACAAAATATATTTCAAGTCCTTCGGGTGTGCACACAACAGCTCTGACTCAGAATTTATGATGGGCCTGTTGGGGAACTACGGATTTCAGTTTGTTAAAAGTGTGGAAGAGTGTGATATTTGCATAATTAATAGCTGCACGGTGAAGAACCCAAGTGAGGAAAGTATGAAGACCATTATCAATTACGTGCACAAGTTGAATAAGGCTAACAGAAGGAGGGCGATTGGCCAAGTGGGCAAAAAAGGGAAGAGGAGAACAAATGGAAAAACGGATGGGGGTCAACAGGACCCACATGAGGATTATCTCACCACGTCATCTTCTGGAATCTCCGATTTTGAGCAGGACAACGGGCACGGGAAGGGAGATGCCAACTGCTGCGCGGACACAGCGTGTGAATGTGCACCCGCCAAGGGAGATTCGGGTTTGGTCAAAAGGGCGGTAACGAAGCAAACAGAAAAGGATGCGATAAAGGGAACAGCCGCGACAGCCCCTCGTGGAGACATCAAAATCATCGTCTGCGGATGTGTACCACAAGCGGAGAAAGACATGGAGATATTCGAAAACGTGTCGCTCGTGGGGGTCACTAACATCGACAAAATTGTGGACGTCGTGGAACATGTGATTAATGGGTACAACGTCCGTTATCTTAAGCAGGCAAAAAAAATGACCTCACTAAATCTCCCCAAAATAAGAAAAAACAAGTACATAGAAATTATCAATATTAACAACGGATGCCTTGGAAATTGCACCTACTGCAAAACCAAATTTGCAAGAGGAGACTTAGCTAGCTATAACATACAGGACATTATTAACAGAATAAAACATGTGTGCAGTGAAGAAAATATAAAAGAAATCTGGTTGACGTCGGAAGATACTGGTGCATATGGAATAGATTTAAATACGAACATCGTCAAACTACTTAAAGAAATTTTGGACACCGTTTCCAATAGCGACGTTATGATCCGCCTAGGCATGACCAACCCACCATACATTTTGAAACACATTAAAGATATATGCAATTTGTTAAAGCATAAAAATATGTACGAGTTTATTCACATCCCTGTTCAGAGCGGCAGTAACAGAGTGTTAAAAAACATGAACAGGGAATATGAAATTGAAGATTTTATATATTTAGTGGAAAATTTAAGAAAGGATGTTCCAAATATTACCATTGCAACGGATATTATATGCGGATTTCCATATGAAACGGAGAATGATCACATGGAAACTGTGGACTTGGTAAAAAAATATCAATTCCCCATACTTAACATTTCTCAGTTTTATCCCAGAAGGGGCACTGTAGCTTATGGCATGAAAAAAATTAACACAAAAATTGTGAAAAAAAGATCGAGAGAAGTAACGGACGCATTTCTTTCCTATACGAACAATTACAAATTTTTAGAAGGAACTACGCAGAGGGTTTTATTCACGGAAGTGTCCACAAAAAGTGATGACCTTATTGGACACACCAAACAGTATGTCAAGGTGTTGTTGCAAAACAGGAACAATGAAAATGCCCATTTGTTGAGCCATTTCGCCAACTGCAAAATTGTTTCAGCTCATAAGTGGCACGTAGTTGCGGAACTGGCTTGAAGAATGAAAGGAGAGGGTGGCATGGTTCCCTTCTTCAGGTGACCCTTCCCCGCATATCCCTGTTCGAGTATCGCCACGTTTGTCCCAAGAGCGTCATTCGTTGCACTGGTGCAGCTGCTGTGCTTGTGACTATATCTTTATGACTTGTGAAAGAATTTTGTTTTTTGTGTTCCCTCTCTGTCGTATGCACAGCCATCATCACCGTTGTTAATTTTTTTTTTTTTTTTTTTTTTTTTTTTTTT